TATTAAATTGCTATTGAATTTGTTGTGGATTAAGCTTTGCATATTGAGAGTAGAAGGAGAATCTGGACTTTGTTACGGTGGAAGTTGTAGTGGATTGAGCTGTTACTTTCCAGTATTGTCTATCGGTTACTATATTTTGTTAGATGCTTATCATTGTCTTCTATATGTACTTGCTCAGTTGCTCTGTTTTGTGACGATGGTTTTCTGTCGAATTGTTTATGAAGTTGACAGTCTACCTTCACATTGCATTTTGAATTGTATTTCCTGTTGTTTGGTCTTGTGATTAAGGATTTGCCGCATCTTTTGGATTTTACCATTTGTGTTTCTTTCAAAGTGATTGGCAACCCCATGTAGAAAATTCATAAGTCTATGTTGCCATTTTGTACCGAATTTGACACTAGCTGCTCGAACCAAATGCTGCCCAACACATCAGTCTTTGTGATCTGAACTCGATTGTTTCTGGTTTCTCATGCACTGCAGATTCAAATGGATATTGTCTTCCCCCACCGGAGATCAGGGATATTGTTGATGCGCCACCCCTTCCAGCACTATCAATGTCTCCTCATAGAGACAAAGTACTATTCCTAAAAAGGAGGTCATTACCTTCTTTGTCAGAATTAGCAAGGCCCGAGGTGAAGCTTGCTGGTATCCGGATTGATGGAAAATGTAATTCCCGGAGTCGAATGTGAGTAACAGATCTGTACATCGACTTTGCAAGTACCCTTTTTACCCTCTCGAAAACCAAACGCGTGAGGGGCTTTGTATTATGCTAATTCTGCTTGACGTCTTTTTGTTCTTCTAGACTAGATAAAGAATGCTTTATTGTTCATTTTCAGGTCATACTATACTGGTATTGGAATCCACCGGATAATGGATGATGGTACTTTGGGTCCTGAAAAAGAAATATATGGCCTCCCGGACGGTGCTAAAATCAATTTCGCCTCGTGGTATACCTTGAGCCTTCCACTAGTTTTATTATTATAATGTTTTAGTTGGCCTCCAAATGCTTTGCTATACTAAGCAGGACATGAAGTGATTGATTGTTTACTTTCAAATGAAGATAGTGCTCTTCATTCTGAAGTCGTTATTAAGTAAACTTGTCCAAACATGAGGTTGTAAACCTTTTCTAATAAAATTCCCAATATTCTCCTGCTTCTGGCCTATACAAGTTCAAGTTTGGATTCCATTGAATTTGGAGTTCTGAAGCAGCATCAGATACTTCTCTTTAGTTATCTTATGTTAATCAGCTTGTTGATCCTGTATATGGTAGGACCGATGAATTGGTAGTATATACTATATATAAATGATTTTTAGTCTTGTTTCTTCCAGAATTGTAACATTTTGTATATTTATCGTCCTGCCAATTATTCACTTCATCTTTTGATATATTTTTTTCTCAACTAGGTCAAGTGATGGCAGCCATCTGGCCTTTGCTGTACGGACTGATGAGGTACTTTTTTCAATCTTATTATATCAATGCTGTCCATGAATATTATTGCGCGTTATACATCTTGCTTGATTTGTTGCTGTACTGCCATTAAACTTGTTCATAAATTTACTGTTTTACTCAAATGAAATATTGATGATACCAAATTTTGATTAGTCACAACCTCTTAGTGCCTTAATAGAACACTATGCCTCTGTTTTCATCTTGCTAAGTTTTTTCACATTATGTTTCACATATATCCTGTGAAACTTGAACTAATCCTCGAGCAGGAGGATGGAAGCAGTAGCAAGCTAAGGTTATGGGTAGCGGATATTGAAACTGGAAATGCTAGATCCCTTTTCCAGGCTCCAGATATTTTTCTAAATGCTGTTTTCGAGAAGTATGTTCTTAAGGATCTATACATTTCTATTGATTTATAAAGCATTCCCCACATTTCTAAATCTCTTATCTTAATTTCCCTTCTCAGCTTTGTGTGGGTAAATGACTCAACCTTGTTGGTTTGTACCATTCCTCTATCACGCGGAGATCCACCCAGGAAACCTTTGGTTCCCTTTGGTCCTAAGATCCAATCCAATGAACAAAAAGATATCATTCAATCAAGAACCTACCAAGATCTTCTCAAAGATGAATATGATGAAGATTTATTTGATTATTATGCAACTTCACAACTTGTTCTGGTATCTCTTGATGGGTCAGTGAATCCAGTTGGGCATCCGGCTATATATACATCATTGGAGCCATCTCCGGATGATAAATTCGTTCTGATTTACTCAATGCACAGACCATATTCTTTTACTGTACCTTCTTCGAGATTTCCCAAGAAAGTTGATATTTGGACAGCCGATGGGAAATTTGTCAGGGAAATTTGTGATCTACCACTTGCCGAGGATATTCCTATTACGCATAACAGTGTCCGGAAAGGAAAACGTTCAATCCAATGGAGAGAGGATAAGCCGTCGACACTTGTCTGGTATGCTTTCAAAGATTTTAAGACATTCCTAATTATTTGTATTAGATTTCCTTTCTCCTAAAAGTATTTGTGTACTATCTCGAGATTTATTATATGTATTTTCCTTGAGGGACGTTTTATGATTGATAATGCACTGTGAGTCCGTGGCTTTATTGTTAATGCATGTCATTTATTCTCATTTTTTCCTTCAAATTATAACTGTGAATGAAGGGTTGAGACACAGGATGGTGGTGATGCCAAAGTAGAAGTCTCTCCACGTGATATAATTTACACAGAACCTGCAGAACCACATGGAAACGAGCAGACAACAGTTTTGCATAAACTTGATCTTCGCTATGGGTAAGATTACGAACTGGCCGTTGTCTATTATAATTTTCGCTTATGGATGGTTATCATCTACTGGTTCCTTACCGTTCATTGTCTAACCACCAATTAATGCATATTGTATCTTGGCAATTATTGTTTTCCCTTTCCAATGAAGTTTATTTTATTTCCCATTGATTAACCGATGCTGGCTTTCCCGTTCTTCCTCACCCGTTCTTCCTCACCCGTTCTCTGCTTTTAGAGGGATCTCCTGGTATGATGACTCCCTTGCCTTAGTTTATGAATCTTGGTATAAAACACGACGAATGCGGACATGGATTGTATCACCTGGGAGTGAGAGTGCAAATCCACGCATATTATTCGATAGGTCTTATGAAGATGTTTACTCGGATCCTGGTACTCCAATGCTCCGTAGAAACTCTACGGGCAATCACTTGATCGCAAAGATCACGAAAGAAGCTGATGAAGGCACATATCTTTTACTGAACGGAAGTGGTGCTACTCCTCAGGGGAATATTCCATTTCTGGATTTACTTGACATGTGAGTTGAAATTGTTCCTTTCGCTATTAATCATCCTTAAAAGCCATAATGATTTGAATCTAACACCGGGATTTCAGAAATACAGGCAACAAGGAACGTATATGGGAGAGCGACAAGGAGAAGTACTACGAGAATGTCATAACTCTAATGTGCGATCAGGATGAAGGGGATATTCGTCTTGACCAGTTAAAAGTACTAACCTCTAAGGAATCCAAAACCGAGACCACACAATTTTATATAGTGAGTTGGCCGGAGAAGAAAGCAAGCCAGCTTACGAATTTCCCCCATCCATATCCTCAGCTTTCTACATTAACGAAGGAGATGATTAGGTACCAGAGGAAGGATGGGGTTCAGCTGACCGCGACCCTATATCTACCACCTGGCTATGACCCTGCTAGAGATGGGCCCCTCCCGTGTTTAATGTGGTCCTATCCTGGAGAATTCAAAAGCAAAGAAGCGGCTGGACAGGTGCGTGGTTCCCCTAATGCGTTTGCCGGCATTGGTTCAACTTCTCCCCTTCTGTGGCTAACAAGAGGGTACCACTTTTTTTTCCTTTTCGCTTGCTTACGCTACTCATCATTTCTGTTTATGTAGCTTCTTTGCAACCTCTACGTGAGGTTTTAGATGTCACGGTTTGAGATTTATGGTGGTAATTGCAAAAACTGTAGGTTTGCTATCTTATCAGGACCAACAATTCCCATAATTGGAGAGGGTGATGAAGAAGCAAATGATAGGTACTGTTGTTGTGATTTATTTTTTATATTTATTTATTATCATTTACTTTTTTGTTAAATACAAGGAAACATTCTGCTCTTGATATGGTTGTATTCTCTGCTAAAAAGTGCCATCGCATATCTTAATGACTCTGGAATTTCAGAATTACAGTTGATATGATGTAGTCAGTTCTAAGAGGGCCTAGCTTGTGTGTTTGTTGCTATGTCTTAGCGACTCTTCCAGCTAGATGTCTTCCTTCTAGTCAATTTTTACACTGTACAAATTTCTTGTTTCTTCCAAGTTCCCCTGTAATATCTTCATACAATAATAAATCCCAGTTTCCAATTCTATATTCCATCCTCTTTTCCCTCGAAGAACTAAGATTTATAAAGGATGAAACATCAAATATTTTTATTTACAGATATTGATTACTGATTGCACCTTCAATTTATTTACCATGTAAGTTCAGTAGAACTGGAATGATGTAATTCAGCTGGTGGAATGATGTAATTCAGCTGGAGAGTTCTTAATTTTTTTTAAAGGAAACCAATTTCATGACTTGCATTGAAGTGATACTTCCTTTATTCCTACTCAACAATATTTACATTATTCATTACAAAACCATATTTTTCAGAAGTATGACATAAAACATTCACCTGTTTCATTCATCAGGTATGTCGAGCAACTTGTTGCGAGTGCAGAGGCTGCTGTGGAGGAAGTTATTCGCCGAGGAGTATGTTTCGTCACTCAACAAAATATTTTGTCTACAGTCTACACTTTACAAACAAATGACATGTTCTATGAATAAATGTGCTTTCCTAGGTGGCTCATCCAGACAAAATCGCTATTGGTGGCCATTCCTACGGAGCCTTCATGACTGCAAATCTCCTAGCTCATGCACCCCATCTTTTCTGTTGTGGGATTGCACGTTCTGGAGCATATAACAGAACACTTACACCATTCGGCTTTCAGGTAGTTGTTTTAATTTTTATTTATTATTAAATTCTTGCTTTAATGCAATATTTCTTAGTCTGACACTTG